TGGGACACTCAGCGCCTTTGGTTTACAACAAAGAAAGACTCATTCTGCAGCTGCATAAAAGGATCTTCTAATAAAAGGGCTTCTTACCTGTCTCAAAGGAATATCAGGAGGATGAATTAGATAATGCCTTCAAAAAGGTACGTACTTTTAAACAGTGCTAAGAAAACAGACGGTGCTACCAGTATTGTCATTTGCTGGAGACAATGTTACTTGTCTTTCCTGGAAAAACTACCTTTCCATTAAAAAAAAAAAAGCCAAAAAGCAAATATACTTTAAGCAGCCATTTTATGGACTTAAAAATGTGTTTGTGACTAGATGGACATTTTCTCTCTCCCTCCCTCCTCTCCAAGTTCAGGCAACCCCACAGGACCCGAGATTTCTATAGCCAAGGTTGAGAGAAGAACAGACAGGAAACAGCAACACACAAGCAGAAAATGGGAGAGAATAAAATTACAGAAACCTCAAAAGAGGAGACCTTTGACAGTGTGCAATTCAAACTCTTGGTGATACTAGTGGAAGACTTTGACCCAGAAAGATTAAGCAACACTCCAAACATTACTCCCCTAGTTAGGACCAGAGTTGTGATAGTTCTTAAACACAACCAAATGGCTAGACGGAGAAGAGAAAGCCTCTCATCCCTGCCTCAGCATCACCATGCAAGTTCCCAGGACCTGTCTCACATTCAAGTTAACTCTGAAGAGGGCATCCAAGCCCTGAGATTCTCCAGCGTGGGGCTCAGGAGTTAGGACCCTTGAGTCTGGTTGACCGGGCTCCTTCCTAACCCCACTCTACTCCCTGGCTGGGTAACTTTGGACAAATAATCTCTCCAAGCTTAATTTCCCTCAGCTGTAAAAGTAGATATTATCAGTCCATAGGGTTGTTGAGAGGATTGAATGAGTCCACATACACAGTGTTTAGCACAATGTCTAATGATAATTGTTGCTCTTAATGTCTCCAGATAGCAAAATTAAATGAGGAGTAAATGAGAAAATGCATATAAAATGCCCAGCACGATGCCTGACAGCATAATAAGTGCTCAACAAATATTGGGAAGTATTACTGCTTCATCCTCCCACACGAGCAGTCATTTCACAAATGCCGTGGCTCTTGCCAAGGTGCCAGGAACTATGCTCTGTCCTGGGGATCCCACTCCCTCAGTTCAATCTGCTCACAGTCAAATGGAAGAGACAGACATGTGGTCAAATAAACGCTCTAGGTCAGGGCGAACAAACTAAGCCCACAGGCCCAGCCCCTGCCTGTTTGTGCTTGGTCCAGGAGCTAAGAACGATTTTTACACTTGTAAATGTTTGGGGGGGGGGGAACCAAATGAAGAATATTTCATGGACATATGAAGGGTATATGGATTCCAAATCTCGGTGTCCATAATTAAATTTTATTGGTGCGCAGTGCGCTCATTCATTTAGAGAGTGTCTATGCTTCTTACACCCTATCGCAGCCAAGTTGAATGGTTGCAGCAGAGACCATATGTCTGGCAAAACCAAAGTCGTTTCCTCTCTGCCCCTTTACAGACGATCCCGCCAGGTCTTGCCCTGTCTTGAGCAATACTACCACACAAACGAGCACTCAAGCATGCCATCGGCAGTGGTTGGGGATGGGGGCACCTGACGCTAGAAACCTGCGGCAGCTTCGCTAAAGACCTAAGCCTTAAAAAATGAGTAGGAATTTGCCAGATGGAAAATGAGACATAGATGTAGAAATCATGTCAAAGCAAAAGATTCTGGGAAAATAGCAAAAGACGCTAGGTGCTTCTTTAAGCCAACTCCAATCTCCTTTCCCTAGCAACGCCCACAAATACCATCACTACGTGTTCCCTTGTGGGCACATACGAGGTTTTCGGCAGTCTGGTAATCTCCAGAATGCATTTCTTAAGGCCAGAATAATTCTCTTCTCTCAGAAACATCACATAGAACCTTGATCCCTCTGAGGATTTCAAGTTTCTAATGGAAACGAGATAAGACGGCCTCGCTATGAATACGCTCCCTCCCTGTGCCCCTGTCCAGTTTCCTTAGCATGTGGTGCAGGGTTATTCTGTACCTGGGACTGGTCCTTCTTGCATCCTTGGCTATGAAGTTTTAAGGAGCACTGAGATGTTTGCTCCACAGATAAAGGGAGTGGAGAAAAAAGAAAATAAACAGGAGATGAGCGGGGCTGAGCAGGTGGCACCCAAATGATCCCAGAAACGTGGAACAGCTGGCGAAAAGGCGTTACAGTCCTCCGATCCTGGGGTCACAAGATGAGCAGCCCTGACAACCAGGGGCGTTCCTGAAACCTGTGACAGCAGGAGAAACAAATGGCGAGTGCTCAAGTGACTTCAGTCACCGAGGCTTGTGACACGGCACTGGCTTCACTCAGTGACATCAACCAAGGGTTCTGCTCTTGTCAACTCAGAGGGCGATATAAATGTGAAGTCATATAACAGAAACGGAGACAGAATCCAAATATGGCATATATACTCAAAAAACACCCAAATATCCGTTTACCTTCTCCTGGTCAGCTGATGCCCAGGGCCACTCTGCTCCCCAGGCCTTCTCGCTCCCACACAACACAGAGCAGCTGGCCCCCACTCCCCCAGGCGCCCCAGTGCGGCCTGGAGCCCGACTTTGTTCTTCACCCAGACTTCATTCATCCCACACGTGGACCGAGCTCCTCTAGGCGGCAAGCCCAGTGCGAGGCGCTGATGATGGAGTGGGGACCAGAGAGCAGTCCCCGCCCTCACGGGACATTCTGCAGACGGATGGGATGGTCAACAGACTGAATGCTCCAGCATGAGACAATCAAGGGGCCTGCTGGAGCCAAGCTGGGCAGTGGTCTACAGTGAGGAAGGGGGAAGGGACAGCACCCCTCTGTGGACAGCCCCTCAGGTGTCCCTTACGCAGCGTGATTGGTGTCCCATTTTTAGGTAGTGTTGACGAAACACACCTGGCTTTCTCTTACAGCCATGAGGGCAGTGGGGCTCTGCCAAGGGGGCAGATGCAAGTCACATGCAACACACAGGACTCAAAGCATCTCCACCTGCTCCCAAGTCCATCTCTTCATGCCTGGCTCCCTCTCCCCTAAGATGGGTGCGCTCCCAAAGTCTCCTCCTTGCCCCTGTAAATAGACTTTGTGGGTCAGGGGGGGCGTTGCATCCCCACCAGGTGAGCAGAGATGCCCAGACACCCCTGCACACCAGCAGGGGACACTGCTGTGTTCTCTCCTGAGAACCTACAGAGCACTGGAGAAAATAAACGGAAGACTTGGATTCGTCCAGCTCCTGGTTCATTAGCTATGTTGGACCATGCCTGAGCCATATATAGAAGCGTACAGTGCCCCAGCTACAGGCATACAAATATCACTTATTGAGTGACCCTGGATGCAAAGAAATGGTGCAGTTTGAATTGCTGAGGTCAAAATTGAATCCACACTGCATATTTATCATCCCCCAAACACTATTCGCGCCATAAATCAAGCTCTAGCACTTGGTGGAAATGCTTTAAGGTACAAAGTACCTCATTGTTATGTTCTTCACCCACCAACGGTGTATTTTCTTAAATACAAAGCCAAAGGCAGCAAACCATCCAACTAAATAGGGAAATGTTCTTAATACAACAAGTACTCTCTGTGCTGCCAGACTCCAATAAAGGCAGAAGGAAATATACTTCCTTTGCCCTCAATAGAGAGACTGTGAGGAAGTTTGAGAAAGGCTGAGGGATCCACTTCTAGCCTTGCTCACGATAGCAATTGAATAAACTACCTGCTCTTTGTAAGGAAAGACTACATATAAATCTCCTTCAATCAAAATAAGTAACACTGTTATTTTAGTATTTATACACGTGCCCAATATATACACACCTTACACAATAAATAAGATTGTCCCAAACACACTGAGAAGTCTTTGCCCTGAGGACCTGACAATCAAATGTATATACAAAAGGGGAAGGAAACCTGCTGGAGCCCGGAGCTGGAGGCGGGAATTAGAGGCAAGATGCTTCAGTCAGCATGTGGGCTGCCTCTTGTTTCAAGAAAGCACAAGGACACTCTGTTAGAGAAAGCCCAACAAAGAAGAGAACAAAAAGGAGAAAGGAGACAGTGGCCATTTGGAAAGAGGAGTGTTTGTCACTCCCCTGGGGCCTTATCCTGTGGGCCGATGTTCAACAGAGACCCTTCACAAGGTGACCCATGGCAAGCAGCAGAAGGGACTAGTCGTAGGTGGTGGCTAAGCACGTGGTCTCTGAGCGAAGAGCGGGTTAGCATTCCGGCTCTCACGATGCATGACTCGCTTCCTTGTCTGCTAGGAAGGATAACAATGTCACAGCACGGAGACTCATCAGGTCCCAGAAAGAGTAAATGAAATGCCGAAGAAAGCACAGGGCTCAGCATACAAAACAAGTCCTAAATAAATCTCATCTATCCTATTTTTCAGATAAATATATTTGCCCTCCTCTTAAAGACAAAAGGAAGTGGCTGAAAATGGTGTGGCTGGTACCTGAAAGGCCTTGGATTTGGCGTCAGCAGCAGGCCAGTCACCTAACCACAGCGATATTAGACTCAACTATCCTAAAGCTCCCTTAGAGTCTTAAAATAATTCCATGAAACTAAACCTGGGAAGTTTCTATCTAACTCACATTTCTTGCCAAAATGCCATGTACCATGTGGGCTCTCTTGCTCTCTATAACCTGGATTCAGTGTTGCCACCAATCAAATCGTGGCTCCCAAGACACAGCTGACAAATTTAGATTAGAATGTGGGTGTTTGTCCTGTTCCCCCACAAGAGCCCTGGGAAAGGGTCTCCTGTTTTCTTGCTCAACATCAGGCCCAAGAAGCCCAGACTCTCTGCTCTGAAGCCACCTGACTTTGGCACTTCCCCAGGGATGAGGTGGCAGCCGCTACTGTTTACCTCTGGAAAAAATGCCCCGAGGTCAGGAATTATGGAATGATATCCAGTTTACTTAGTGACAGTTTCCCAAATCTCGTACTACTGCAATGGAAAGTACAATGCTGTGCTCGCTTCGGCAGCACCTGTGCTAACGTCGGAACAGTACAGAGGAGATTAGCGTGGCCCCGAGCAAGGGTGACGTACAAATTCGTGACGCGTTCCATGTTTTAAATGTTAAAGGGGCTTATTTCAGAAAAAGAAGATCAAAACTATGAACAATAAAATGGCAAAAATACATCTCTATCAACAGTTGAATCTGAAAAACAAACTAAGCAAACAAAAACAGAGACAGAATCATGGCTAAGGAGAGGGTTTTGACAGTTGCCAGGCGGGAGGTAGGTGTCGAGGAATGGCTGAAGAGGTGAGGGGATTAAGAAGCACAAATAGGTAGTTACAGAAGAGCCATGGGATGTAAAGTACAGTATAGGAAATGGAGCCGCCAAAGAACTTACAGGCATGACCCGTGGGCATGAACAATGGCGGGGGGCTTACCTGAGGGGGTGGGGCGTGCTGGGTGGAAGGGAGGCAAAGGGAGAAAAATCAGGACAACTGTAATAGCATAATCAATCAAATATAATTTTTTAAAAATACAATGCTTACTCTGAACAATAAAAATGAGATTGGAAATGCATGAGTAACTGCCGTAAAAGGAATCATGGATACGTATCATTCCTAGGAAAATACTTAACAATGGGGGATTTCTGAAGCCCAGGGCTGTGTTTCTGAGGGCAGACCTGCAATTTCAAAATATCTCCTTGCTCATATTTCTCATAACCGTCAATGCAATGCAATACCCTCGCTCTTTTGATAAGAGCTAGATACCACTTTGTTTCCTTAGTACTTCACAAGCATTTTGAAATCCTGTAACAAAGGGCGATATGAAATGAATGTGTGAGATTTATCTGAAATCCAATTGTGTTTAGCAACAAGACTGGTGAGAAATCCCCCTGTATAAGATCGTCTGTGATATATTGAGCCAGCAATATACGGTAGCCACAATAAACGATGCAAGTGATTGCTTAAGCTGCGGGTACGAGCGCCGCCCTCATCTGCCTCCCCTCTGGCTGGCTGAGTCCCTTTTGGACACCGCTCATTTCTGTGTAACCCACATCCCTTCGGTTGAGTGTGCTGCTTCTCTCACATGTAAATTCAATTACATTCCCTAATGGCTAGAGACAGTACACAAACCAAGAGAACACCAACTCTGCCTGTTTCCCTTGCGCGTATGATAATAGATGTTGATTTTTGTTCCATTTCAGTTACTGAAGAGTAATTCCAAATGTTGAGATATGATGTACAAAATAAAAATAGTTGTGTCATACTGTGTTTTATCATAGTGACAAGCTGATTGGATGGCATGATATTGGCAAAAAAAAAAAAACCCTTTTTTTAATGAGTTTAAGTCAGAAAATCTGAGTTTCCATCCCAGCTCCATCATTTATTATATGTGTCCAAGACGTAGTCAGCTTCCCTGTAAAATGAGACAGGATACTCCCCTCAGAAGACCATCATGAGAATTAAATTATGTAGATCAGTGAAAGAGCACCATGCAAAATATTTCTATATTTTTTATTAGGAGTGATTCTATAATTTAATCAATGTCACCTTAAGTCCTTTGGGGAAAGAGGTTGAATGATCAATTGAATGGAGATGATAGATGGATGGATAGATAGATAGATAGATAGATAGATAGATAGAAAGATATAGAGCAGTGAAGGAGGGGAGGGAAGGAGGGAGGGAAAAAGAAAGGAAGGAAGGGAGGGAGGAAGCAGGGTAGGGGGAGGAAGGAAGGAAGAAAACGGACAGAGACGGACAGAATTTATTATCCATATTAACTCCCAGTACATTAACGTGACGGTGTCTCTGCGCCCAGCCGTATAATCTGCACCGGGACGTCCCCCGGCTGAGAGGATGAGGGGAGAACGCCACCCACCCTCCACTGACAGCGACACGTCTGGCACACAGGGCTGTGCCTGCCTGGAGGTACAGACACCTTTTCTTAATTTCCACAAAGCCCTCCTAGGGACTGGCAGCGAGCCTGACCAGAACTATTGCATTAAACCCCCAGACACTTCTGGGAGAGAATATTGCCCCACTCCCACAAGTCAGAAAACTGAGACTTAGAATATTCAACTGAACCATCTAAAGGACTGAAACATGGATTAAGGTCTCCGGCACCGAGGCCGATGCAGTGTCTAGTACACAACAGACACCTGCGAGCAAAGGAACTCCCTAATGAGTGTCCATCAGACCGGTACAACGCTGGACAAGACCAAAGACTCCGCCACAGAGGTTAAACACTCCGCTTGTTTCCGTCAACAGAAGGAAACACAAAAGGGAGAGGTCGTGTTAAGAACCTAGAACACAAATCTAGGTCAGACAGATACAACTTCCACCACATATTATACAATAATTTCCACCAAAATGCTTCTAATATAAGGAGAGGAAACAGACATAAAGCTAAATCAACACAATGAAGTGTTAATAGGAACCATGTTAGAAATGCAGTATAAAGCGTTTTCCAGTTTTTATCTCTAAACTGATGGAGGATTCAGATAAATGCTCTCCAGACAGGTGACGTGGGGTCTGAGACCTGACAGACAGGGTTGGAAGTGGGAGGGTGGCCCTGAGGTATGAGGTTGAGGATTCTTGGTGGTGACTCTGTCACCACATACTGGCTGACAGGGGTGACCCCAAGGGTGGGGCAGCGAAAGCACCTGCATTTGACAGGTGGGGACGAGCAGAATAGACCCAAGGGACACAAGCCCAAAGGTGACCAGCGCAGGCCAAAGCCCGGAAACCGGAGGCATGGATGGCAAAGATCTGTAGGTGGAGGCAAATGACCAGGGACCAGAGAAAAAGAAGACCAAGGAACAACACGTAGGAGGGACGCCTGAACAGGGAGCAGAAAAGGGTGGGCTCTATGCGCTCTTCAATCCTACTCTTTCTGTGGAGGAACTAGTTTCATTTAAAGGCTCGAAATCAGAAGGGACAAGAGGACCTAAGCCTGGATTTCTGGAAGGTCACATAGTGAACCACCAAATATTTATGCAGATAAACCATCAGTTTGGTGTTATGAAAGAGTCCCGTAGCCCTGGGCACAACGGGGTCTTCCAAAACTAAGGCGATGAAGTTGGGAAGTAGAAAAATTATAGGAACATATACAAAAGGGAACATGAAGCACACAGTAGAGTGGCATTCATTCACTCACTCATTCACTCAACAAACGTCACTGAGTGCCAATTCGCAATATGTATATACTGGTAGCTAACACTTAACCAAGCCCTTCTCTTATGCCACACATTGTTCTGGGGACTTTTAAGTCATTTATCCATCACTACTTTAGGAAGTACATACTCTTATTACTAGAGAGGAGGAAACTGAAGCACAGAGAGGCTGGTTTGCCCGAAATCACTCTGCTAGTGAGAGGCAAGAGCAGAATTTCCCCCCAGGAGGTCAGGACCCCAGTCCCCGCTCTCTTTTTAACTGCGATCGTAAGCTGCAATGTTCTGGCACTCTGCCAGCTTCCACAGGACTCGAAGTTAGACGGGCAGCTCTGAGGTTTGAGTTTAAGAACCTGCCTCCTTTCCCTAAAGGCATCTGCCACCCAATGTAAGTTCTGGAAGACTGGTAAATGGGAACATGGAGGAAAGGATACCATGTAAACCTTCGGTCGGCCACAATTTTCCTGGGTAGGTCCAGAATTTCTTGCCCTCAGTTGGGTCTCATCCATGGAGCGCTTACCAACTGTGGGAATGTAACAGCAACATTAATCAAAGGGAGGAGAAAGAATCAGCCCTCCCAAACACTCCTCTACCCTTCTAATAATACATTTGAATTATGCACCTACAGTATGGGCACTTAGCAGGCATCTGGAATTTATTTCTGGTTTACCTTGAAATCGTTGATTGGGGGAAAAAAAAGTCTCGGCCACCCCATAGCTTGCCATTAATTAATGTAAGCCTCCACCAGGAAACTGTTTAAGACGCTCTCTGCGATGCAAATTAAAATCACAACGAGCTATCCCCTCATGCTTGTCAGAATGGCTTCCATCAATAAATGAACAAACAGCGCGTGGTGGCGACATGGAGAACAGGGAGTCCTGGTGCCCCGTTGGTGGGGATGCAGACTGGCGCGGCCGCCGTCGGAAGCAGTGCGGGTTCCCTCGAAAAATTATAACTGGAGCTGTCTTATGACCCAGCAATTCCACTCTTGGGAATTGATCGGAAGAAACTCGAAACACTAATCTGAAAGAAGATATGCAGCCCTACATTCAACTGCAGCATTATTTACAATAGCCGAGATTTGGAAGCAGCTCAAGTGCCCATCAGTAGGAAGTAGGTAGCTGAGAAAGCGGTGGTACATTTACACAATGAAATACTATTCAGCCACAAAAAAGAAGGAACTCTTTTCAACAGCGTGGGTGGACCTGGCGAACATTATGCTAAGTGAGATAAGCCAGCCAGAGAAAGACAAGTGCCGTATAATTTCATTGATACGTGGAATCTAATGAACACAATAAACTAACAAAACAAAAACTGACTCATAGAAAACAGCCTGACAGCTGCCCGAGGGGAGAGGGTGTCAGGAGGCTGGGTGAAAAATGTGAAGGGATTAAGCAAAAATAAATAAATAAACTGTAACAGGCACAGACAACAGTATGGTGGCTGCCAGAGGGGAAGAGGGGGTGAGGGGAGGTGGAAGGGGCAAAGGGGGGGGAATGGGGATGGAAGGAGACTTGGCTTTGGGCGGTGAGCGCACCGTGCAGAATGCAGACGCCGTGTTTCAGAGCTGAATACATGAAACCTGTATGGTTTCATTAAGCAATGTCACCCCAATAAATTCAATAAAAAATAATAATGTTCCCACCATGTTTGATACGGTCTACCACAGAGAGGACTTGTCGCAGATCCTCTGCCAGGAATCGGAGCGTTACTACCACGAAAAAGTCATCATGAAGCTGTGGGTCTTGTTCCTCTTTTTCCCTTGGCTTCCAGAAAACTCAGAGACAAATGAGCTGCCTTCCTCTACCAGACCCCTTGGCAAATTTCATATGCAATACCATACCTTGTCTTCATTTTATTTTCCTGTCATTATGTTCTCTTTGCTCCAATTTTCCTCATCTTTAATACATCCTGTTTTTGTGTATGTATTTTGCTAAGCTGCCTTA